AGGATACGTATCAGATCTTCTTCCAAAGTGGTACCCATTTGGCAATGCAGCTTGAGCATCTCTAATCCAAAGATCCAAAATCTGAAACATTTCAAAGAATGCTGACGTGATATCAGGAGTGGAAAATTTCACCTTAATATGCAAATTTATTTAAAATGTTGTATAGCATCACCTTCAGGCTCTGTGGACAAGGTACCTATGAAACATGAATGAATTTCATGCATAGGCCTGGGTTCATTATGTATATGCACAAGTTCCAAAATCTGAAAAAGTCTAGAATCCAAACCATGTCTGGTCCCATTTTTGTTGTTGGGTTTTTTGTTTTTTGTTTTTTGTTTTTTTTTTTTTTTTTTTTTTTTTTTGGAACTGGGGATTGAACTCAGCCCCTTCTGCTTGCAAGGCAAGTGCTCATTCTACTGAGCCATCTCCCCAGCCCCTCCCATGTGTTTTAAATAAAGATATTTGCCCTGAATTAGAACCAAGAAGTGGAGTCCCAGTGTAACTTACATTTCCGTCTTACATAATATCTACACGTTTTTCACATCCCTTACAAATTGTTGTTTCATTCCCTACAAATCTAAGAGATAAAATATTATCTCTGATTAATGAATGTCTTCATTCATCTTCCATGCCCCGGGTATGTACTGGGTGAGTGGCATCAGGGTCCTTGTGTTGACATCTCCAAACTCAGCCGAATGAGTAAGCAACAAAATAAGGAAGGGTGTCCAGCAGGACAGTAGGGCCTGGAGGGGACTGGCGTACCTGAAAATGTGCTCATCCATGCAAGAGACAATCAGTGCTCAGCCCTGGCACATCTGGCCTTCACATGGTGTCCTCTTGTTGCCAGATTGTCTAATGTTCCTAGGAAGTGTTTCATTTTTGATATTGAAAATTAACTCTGAAAGTTCAATGTTGCCATGGCAAAAGAAAACGAATGCTAGCTGAATGTAACACAAGAGCTAGAGAGAGAGAAAAGCAATTGATGATGCTGTGACATAAAGTCGGGGATGCCCTAGAGACATCATGGAGAGGTGCCCGTGTGGGCTCAGGGAATCCTAGAAACCTTTGGCCAGGCTTGGTGGGGCCAGGCACTGCACACCAAGGGGCATCTGGTAGCCAAGCTAGCACTCTGACACCCTATAAGATTTAGAGCCTGGAGCTCCTCCTCAACAGCAGGGTCCCTTAAATCATATCACTGAGACCCCGCCCCTTGGCCCACAGACATACCTGCACAGGGACAAAGGAGTGGAAGAGATGGGCATGGATAGACCCTGTTGGATTCTGCCCTTTTGAGGAGAGGCCAATTAGGATACATCCCCGCTGGTTACCATTCACCCCAGTGAGCAGGCTGCGCAGCTTTGGTTGATAAGAAGCTACTGGCTGGGCACCTCCACGTGGTGTTTGCCAGCTCTGCCCTCTGGGTTCATGTGCTTTCTTCTGTGCTTTCCTAGCTCTCGTTGCACCAGCCTGCCTGTCATTGCTGAATGGCAGGTAGTCAGCAATCCCATGCTTCTAGGATGCAGTGAGCCCGGCAGTGCTTAGTTGATGCTGTAGTGCCGAGCCACAGCCGGTTTCTCAGTGTGGCTTTTGCAAAAGTGGATGCTGGATTGCTAGGAGGTGTGATCTAATCTGGATATTTTGGCAAACCAGAAAAACCCCAGTGGATGGACATGTTGTATATAATCACACTAATTTGTACGGCTTATGCTTAATAAGTTACCCCCAAATAAATAGAACACTTAGACATATAAAAAAATCTTTCTGTCTTTGGGTCAGACCCCGAAGGCCCAGAATTTAACATCAATTTCAACAAATAACCTTTTTATAGCCTTATTTTCATTTTAAATATTATTACTTAAATGCAAGTTATTTCATTAATTTTTTTTTCTCTTCATGAATGCCAAAAAAGTCATAAGTAATTTCATTTTATTCCAGGAAATTCAAGGTCGTACTTGTAACATTCCAACAGCTAAACTGTTTATTTCTAAAATGTTCTTCACCAGGCTGTCGTGAAAGGTACTGGGGGAGGCCATTGCCCCTGCCACGCCATGGACTCCTTCAGGGCCACCTTCGTGGTGTTCCGCAGCCTTGTGCCCTCCTCTCGTCCCTGTGACTGTTTGCTCACAGCCGGATGAATAAGCAGAGGGACTGTGAACTCTGTGACTTCACTGGGTACTGATGATCAGTGCTCCCCTTTGATCTAGGACATTCAGGTGTCTCACATTTGTCAGTACTATCTTCAAAGATGCGCACGCGTAGCGGGGCATTTGATCCTCTACAGTTACATCATAACATGAAGGACAAGCGTACTAACACAGAGCATTTATTATGTGCCGGAAACCATGGTATCAGCTAACTCTCCCAAATGTGCTTCATGGCTCAGCTCACCGAATCCTCACAGCAGTCTGGTTGCTGTCACCGTACCTGATCTGGGTGGAGGGAGACGGGGTCTCCATGCCGAGTAGCTTGTCTGGGCTTATACCTAGATCAGTGATATTCCCAGTGAGGACAGCACCACAAACAGCAGCAGACATCCCTGATGGAGGTTTATTCTTATTTAGGTACTGGGATAGTTCATTCTCACTAAAAGATAGGTTCTATTTGCATCTCTTTATAAATGTGTAGTCTGCACAGGACATATCTAAGAGCCACTTCCTGTTGGTCTTCTGCAGGAGATAGCATGGTCCCAGGATAGTATTTTGACCAAAATAGTTGCGTCTTTGTAGTAGGTAGCGACTCTGCCAGTCTCTTTTATCTGGTGTAAATAGGTTGGTATGACTGGTTGGAAATCTCTAATCCAAACCCCAAAGTGCTCCAAAACCTGAACCTTTTGAGTGTCACCAAGATGCCACAAGTGGAAAATTTCAAAGTATAACACTTTCCTTTGTGAGCAGAGTTATTTAAAAATACTGTAATAGGCTGGCTGTGGTGGTGCATACCTATGATCCCAACACGGGAAGGCTGAGGCAGGAGAATTGCTGAAAGTTCTAGGTCAGTTGGAGCTACAAAGTGAGTTGAAGGCCAACCTGAACTACACAATCAGACCCTATCTTAAAAAAAAAAGGACACTTAAAAATAACACATAAAATTACCTTCAGGCAATAAGGCATATATGGAACATAAATGACTTTAGTATTTAGACTAGGGTCCTATCCTTAAGATATTTCATTATATATATGAAAATATTCCAAAATCTAAGAACATCTGAAATCTGAATTACTTCTGATTCCAACATTTAAAGTGACACATATTCAACCTGTATATTCTTTTCTCCATTAGATATAAATTGAGCATTTTTAAAGAAATTAGCATATTTTTCAAAATTTAGAACCATGCCAAGAAATAGATAACCCAAAGCCCACATTTCAGAGAGTGTGTTTTGCCCCCTCCTCGCAACCCCCAGCCCTTTGTCTGTCCAAGCAGAAAGTTGCTGGCTGTGCACTTGCTGGATGACTCTGAGACCTGCTGGTGGGGAGCTCTGCCTAGAAGCAGGAAAAGGTTAAATTCACTCAAAATGGGCCACTCATTCAACAGGTGAGCTCCTGCTGCCCTGACGATGGGACCTGCTGAGGCAGCTGAAGTGACCCCTCTGGGCCAGGCGCCACCAGGGCCACCTACCTGAGACAGACAGCCATCCGGCTCCCTGCTCCCCTGGGCAGCAGCTAGAGCAGCCTGCGCAGCTCAGCTCCTTTTCCTGCTGCTGTTACTGTTTTGCTGGGGCCTTTTGGCCCACTGCTCTTGTTCTCGGCTTTGATTTCTAACTAACCAGATGATCTAGCACTTTGGGAGCCTCTCTTAATTTTGAAAGATTCTACTTTAAAAGAAATCACACTGCGGTTCTGGATAGAGCCATTTCTCCTTGCTTGTCCTTGTATGTCTCTGTAAAAAACAATCAGATATCTTTCTGCATTTAACCCATTCTTGGTGACCATTAGGACCCTAGGTTTATGTTTATTAAAATGTTGGGTCAGGGCATCCCCTTGTATCGCTCGTGACTCTTAGATGTTTCTGAGTGCTTACTCTTCCACCAGTGAGTAATTTGCACTGTGCTGCTTTCGAGAAGAATTCACACAGACCAAACCTTAGCTGTCTGTTTCCTGGTAGAGATGAAGGTCCCAAGATCCAAGCATAGTACTCCCTGTTTTTTTGTTTGCTTCCTTATATTTGCACTGAAGATTGAATTTACGGCCTTCATACTGTTCTTCTTCCCAGCCCTTTTTGTTTTTTATTTATTTTGCATTTTGAGACAAGGTCTTGTTAAGTAGCTGAATTGCCCAGACTAGACCAGAACTTGGAATCCTCCTGCTTCAGCCTGGCAGTGTGATGGGATTGCAGACAGGCAACACTAGGCATGGGTCCAAGCAAGGTGCCTGTATGCGGCAGAGCACACTGGGCGGCAGAGTGTACGTGACATGGTACGTGTAGGAACAGCGACCCTGGAGCCGTCCTGCCTGGGTTTGAATGTAGGTCTGCTTCCTACTAGGATGACCTCAGGCAGGTTATTCAGCTTTCTTTTCTTTTTTTAATTCAGCTTTTTACAGTCTCAGTTTCCTCATCTCTCAAGTGGATGGAATGATAGTATTGACATTTTAGAGTACTTGTGAGGCTCAGCGTGCTAAAAATAGTACCTTACCACTCAGTGTGCTTACCAATTTTTTTTTTCAATCCCTGCCATTAACCTGTTGGCACTGTTTAAATGGAAGATGTATATGTCACTGGTTGAATGTGATTTTCTTCTGAATGAAGTAGATCAGCCAGTTGGGTAGAAAACATAAAGACAGATAAACACCTGAGAATTCAGAGCTAGTAGGAGTTTTGCTTGTAAAGTGTAGGCAAGCTAGTCATCAGGTTTCATTACCTAAAGTCAAAAGAATTATGTTTTATATGTCTGCTGTATCTTTCAAAGCATGAATACTAATTTCTAATGCATCTAGAAAATGGCAGACATTAGATAGGAGATACAGGGCAGTCACTAAAGTCTGTCTTCTTCTCTGATTTAGAACCCTGCTGGCATATATTTGATCAGAGCAATGGCTTTCAGAGTACTGCAAGAACGAGCGAAAACATTCCTCACCATTCTCCTTTTCCTGGGCTGTCTGGTAAGTAAACTCATTTATTTCAGAAGAATGGAGTGGCAGTTTGATCTTGTGTATTTTTCATTCCACATTGCATTTCATAACTTTTGTGTATAACAAGTGAAAAAGTTTTGCTAAGCTGTGGTGTTTTTAACAAGTGTTGAACTCACTTTATTTGAATTTAAATAAAGTCATAAAATTTCCCTGCTATTTACAGCATTAGGGAAATGACAGTACCTTGGATTTATAGGAACATATCTCTCATAACACATCCTAGACTCTAATAAGACCACAGATGATAATTTGGAGCCTCTTAAAATTTAATAAAGAATTCAGAATGGGTGTTTAAGAGTTACTATTTTGATAGCTATTTACACTCACCTTGGTTTCTAAAAGTATTAAAAGCAGGTAGAAAGTATTAATGTTGGAAAGTATTACCAAAGATCAATGAAAGTGTCCAGAAGGCTTGCAGTTTATTTAATGTAGAGATATAATAAAGATCTACAATTATAGAGAATTATTTACACTGAAGACTGCCTGAAGTCTTTGAAGACATAGTAAGAGGAAATGCACTCATGTTAGAATCCGAGATCCAGTTGGGTAGTGTCTAAATAAAGCTTTTCTTCTGTTAATTAAAGCTGTTAAGCATTGAATAAGTGATCCAAACAGGAGGTTGTGAAGTTTCTTATCAGAGATAACACTCTCTTTGTGGTAGAAAGCAAACATGGACCCTCGATAAAATCTGACCCCTCAAAGTCAGGAAGAGCTAAGAGAGGTGGAACGAGAATGTGGGACACGTAGCCCCAAAGAATTCTCTAGTCCTGATTCCCAGCTTGAGTTCTCTCTCCCATTTGTCCAGGGGTTCAGGCTTTAACTTTATTTAAGGATATTTATAGGCATCATTACATGTATTCCTGCTTCAAGGTGGGAGTAATTCGTTGTGGCCCGTTATCATGAGCACCAAAAGCATCTTCCTTCATGCAGTGTATGAGAGACATTACGCACAGCAGGCTGCCCCAGCAGGACTCCTAGGTGTTTCCACTTTCACTCAGGAGAGCACAGGGATGATGGGTAATGTTATTCAGGACATTTAGGATAAGAGTTTACACTGAATGTCTCCACCAAATCTTACATGCTATTAATAAAATTAGATGCAATATTATCCATCAAGAAGCAGGTAAACACAGTTCTGTAGGGTTATAGTGATAGGGTAACTTTGGTTTTAGCTAAAATAAGAAAATAAAACTTATTTTGAAAAGTGACTTAACCAACTTCGTTTTTGCCAAAGTATAATTTTTTTTTCTTTTTTTATGTTTTTAGTACAGGGTCTGCAGGGTCTCACTACATAGATCAGACTCTTAGTGAATCTCCTGTTTTCAGCATCCCACATGCTGGGATTACAGGCATTCACCACCATGCCCAGTCTCAGTCGCCACCTCAGTGTGCCCCAGGGGCGGGGCCAGCATGGCAGGATTGAACCCTGGCTGCTGCACTCTGCCTAAACAGGCGCTTTAGTCCGCTAAGCTATTTGGCCAGCCCCCTTGTCAAAGTAGAATTTTTCTGTCAAAGTTCTATGCTATGAGCCAAAATGTATAGGAAAGAGCTGGGTGGTAACCAGTTAACTTTCGCTTTGAAGAGTTTTAGAGATTTAAGGCCCAATCCCATCCTTACCACCATTAACTCTGCCACCTTCATCAAGAAGTTCGTTGGCCTCATGACTGTCAAACAATATATTTTGAAAGATAACCTCTAAATAGATGTAGTGTAATGAGAGAGATAAAAAATTCTCCACTGGGTCCGAGGAGATGACTCAGGAGTAGAGTAAGTGCTTCCCTGGCCAGTGCAAGGGTCTGAGTTCAATCCCCGATTCCACTAAAAAAAAAATCTCCATCAACGCTATTCAGATCTTTATAACTAAAAGATAATTGCAAGTTCTTGTGCCTATAAGAATACATTATATCGATTTGGTTATTGAGTTTATTGTACTTGAATATGTTTATATCTTGTGAAGATCGAAAACTATTGGGGGTTTAGTTATATTTTGTTAATTCATAATTTTTCAGGTAGCAAGGGGACTTTGGATTTCTTCAGGGCTGTTCTTTTCTGTGTCATCTTAGAAAAGATAAATGCAACAACATCACTTCTGTCCAGTGCCCAGGAGCATCTCAGAGGAAGATAGTATTTAACTTCAGGAAAATGGAGACTCTACTTATGGAATGAATGAGCATTATCTGAATTCACAGGCCAGTCAGGCTTCCTAATTTGTTTGTTCCACTGTTTCACTCAGAAAGTGGTTTTTTTCTTTATTTTTTATTTTTTCTTGAAGTGAAAATTAAATTGACCTTTCTGATTTGACGTTCATACACTGGGCTACTACACGACTAACACTGATGCTTTTCTTGCAAACAATAAAAGAAAAGTACTCTAAGATAACACTTGGTGAACCTCTGTTTTCCAGCCATGTAAAGTGATTTGTGAAACTGGAGACTGCAGACAACAAGAATTCAGAGATGACTCTGGGAACTGTGTTCTGTGCAAACCCTGCGGGCCCGGGATGGAGCTGTCTAAGGTACGTGCTGGGTGCCTGGCGAATTGTGTACCTGTGTCTGTAAAATGCATTCTCCTTAACTCAGTTCTTTTAGTTAAATATTAGTGAAGCTTGGGCTACTGTGACCAAATTTTGCACCCATTATGTCACTTTAGCCAAACAGTATCCAATTCCCCTTTCACTATTTGTGATTCATGTGTCTTAATGAGATAACTAGGTTCTCAAAACCAGAATTCAATAAATGTCTTTAGCTTATGTAATTTAGTGTTTGTATTATCTTATCAAAAGCACAGAATTTTTAACTTTAATTTGAGTTAGAACTTAAAGTATTTGTAACAAAATGGGAATGCTTTTGTTTCCTATTTAAAAAAAAAAAATGTTACCCTGGCTAATAAATAAATACAGTATACTTAATGTCCTAAGTAAAGTTGCTTTAAGGCAGAAGTTCTTTTTCAAATTAGGAGTTAGAAGTTATTTTGGTAACATAAATATTATTAATCTCACTATCCTGTGGATATATTATCCTCAGGAGTACTTTAAGTTTAACCATTGTTTATTAAGAAGTACAGTTATATCATGGGTTATTTCGCAGACTTGCTATACATTTATTTGCCTTATTTTCTGATCTTTTGAAGATCCTACCTACTGTTTGTGGAGAGTTGATGTAATGTTTTATTCTACAAAAAGCATCAAAGCCATCCTGCTAGAAAAGAGACAATAGATTCTTTTCATTGAAAACGACTTCTAAGAGAGAAGTTTTTTTCCCCTACAGACGGCTATTATTTAAGGTTGAGTCATTGATTTTTTGATCAATCATCTACAAACAGCAGGAAACAAAGAATAATGCATTCCACGGTGGGTCCTGGAGGAGGCCTTTTCCACTGCTTCTCCTGTAACAGAAGTGGCCGCTCAGGATCCCCGGCTCCACTTTTGCTTGCAGCTGACGACCTTCAAGCTGTGTGTTAACTGACCTTTAAGCCAGTTAACTGTACATTCTCAACAGATAGTTTCCAGTCCCTCTTGGCTAGAGTGACATGCATTTTCTGACATAGAATTCGCCATGTGGGCTGGCAGAAGATTAATTTGCAGCAGATCTGCAAATGGACAGTAGGCACAAAGCAAAGTTTAAAATGCTTTTGGAGCCAGGAATAAAACAGATGAGGTTTTGTTCTTCAAAAGTCCATTTTAGCAAAATTTCCATGAACGTCTAAATGAAACTACAAATTCAATAATACCTAAGTTTAAGAAATCAGAAGAAAAACTTTTAAATATTTTCAAGAGGATGAAAACACAATTTATAAAAATGTGTGCGGCACAACGAAGCAGTGCCGAGAGTAAGTTCACAGCATTAAACCTGTGTATTATAAAGGAGATCCTGGCTTGCCCATCTGAATTTCCATGTCGTGACACTAGAAAAAGAACAAATAAAGTCCAACATGAGAAAAAAATAAATAATAAAACATAGAGCAGAAATCAATAAAATTGAAAACAAGAAATCAACAGCATCTAAAGCTAGATTTTGGAAAGATAAATAAAATTAATCACATAACTAGGCTAAAAAACAGATGATAGGGTACACTTTACAGATATCAGAAACAAAAGAAGAGACATCATTACATAGCCCAAGTATATTTAAAAAAATAATGAAGGCTGGGGAGATGGCTCAGTAGGATAAGCGCTTGACTGGCAAATGCAAGGATCTGAGTTCAATCCCTGGTTCCACCAAAAAAATAAAATAAAATAAAATAAAATAATAATAATAATAATAATAATAATAATAATGGAATACTGTGAACAACTCAGTGCTGCTAGAAATATAGCTCAGCAGCACAAGTGCCTACCTGGCAAGCACAAGGTCCTGAGTTTGATTTCTGGTACAAAAAAAAAAAAAAAACCCTCAATGCCTACAATGTTGGTAATCCAGGTAAAATGGACCAATTCCATGAAAGATGAAATATACTAAAATTTACACAAGAAAAAATTAGCAGTTATTTTAGGCCCATCTCTATCAAAGAAATTCAAACAATAGTTAACTATCATGGTTACTTTTCTCTCCCTGCTGGGGCAAAATCCCCAACACCCAAAGTTAAGAAAGAAAAGGTTTATTTAGCTCGCAGTTTGTAGAGGTTTCAGTCTAATCAGCTGGCTCCAAGGCAGGGTGGGGGCCACAGTTCATGGCTGTGGAAAACAGCAAAAGCAGCAAAAGCAACAAGAGCAAAAAGGAAAAGAGTAAGCCTCTTTCCTCCCTTACCTTGCATGCAGGCTTCCCACCCTAGGAAGGGTGCTTTACACCCACGCCATCTCTGCGCCCTCCCCCTGCACAGGCAGAGGATCTTTGCAAAGTAGGGACCCTAGCCCTCTGCTGAGTCACTTCTTCTTCAGTTCTCCAGTTCATAGAAGGAATTAATCACCTGTTATAACATCCTCCTAGTAAACTGGCCACCCTAGGGCATGTCTGCTACACTGCTGAGTTACTTAGTAAAGCCTCCAAACTTCTCCAGTTAACACAATGTATCAACCATTCCAACAGCTTCCAAAACAGAGCAGTAGGCCAAGATAAGTCTCCTGGTCAATTCTACCAGTTAAGAATAAATTATATCAGCTGTTCAGAATCGCTTCCAAAATATGGAAGCAGAAGGAACTCTTTACAACTCATTCAATAAATATTAAGCCAGCATCACTGTAAAAACAAAAACATTATAAGCAAATTATGAAACAATCTCTCTTATGATCATAGATGCAAAAAACCTTTGATAAATATATTAATACATTTAGTGCAACTCCGTGTGTGTGTGTGTGTGTGTGTGTGTGTGTGTGTGTGTACCATCATCATGTCAGATTTACCATGGTTGTGAGATTGGTTCAACATCTGAAAAATTAGTTTAATCCACTGCATTAACACACTAAAGAGTAAAAGTCACACAGTCATTTCAATAGCTTTAGAAGAAGCATATTAAAAAATTCCACACCCATTCGTGATTAATTTGGAATGGAAAGGAACTTATTTAGTTTGATAAATAATACCTATCAAAAGAAACTACAGTTAACATCATACTTGATAATGAGAAACTAGAATCTCTCTAAGATTAGAAATATTCTTTTTTTAGCATTGAGCTAGTTATCTTAGGTATCGCACTAAGACAAGCAAAGGAAGCAAAAGGTACACTGATTTTAAAGGAAGAAATAAAGTTCATTTTTTGCAGATGATCGGATTAGCAATATAGAAAATCAAAAATAATTGACCGAAAACTTCTGGAACTAATAAACAAGTACAGTAGCATTGTAATAGCAAAGTTAATAGGCATTTCCTGTTCTGGGAATGAACACATAGAATTTGCAGTTAAAAGTACCATTTACTTTAATGCCTCTGAAAATGAAATAGCTAAGTATAAATCTAGCAAAAAATGTACACGATCTATAGAAGGAAAATCACAAAACCCTGATGAAAATAGCAATAAAAAATAGCTAAATAAATGGAGAGATATTACATGTTGGTGGACAGGAAGATTCAAGATATCAGTTCTTTTCTACTTGATTTATGTTGATCTACTACTCTATCAGCACAATCTCAGTCAAAATCTCAGAAATTTACTTTATAGATATTGTATGTTGAGATGCAAAAAAAAAAAAAAAAAAAATGGCCCTCAGAATACCAACATAGTCTTGGTGGACATGGAAAAATTAGAAATTTAATACTTTTTGATGTCAAGATTTAACATAAAGTAATAATAATCAAGACAGTTATTAGCAGGTTGGCCAGATAGCTCAGCAGATTAAAGCACTTCCTTATGCGGAAGCAGGGACCAGGGTTCAATCTCTGGTGTGCTGTGCCGGCCCCACCTCTGGGGCACTCTGAGACTGTAACTGAGACTGGGTGTGGTGGCCCATGCTTGTAATCCCAGCACTTGGGAGGCTGAAAACAGGAGACTCACTACAAGTCAGATCTATGTAGTGAGACCTTGTAGACCCTGCACTAAACACAGAAAAAAAGAAAAAGAAAAAAGACAGTTATTAGTGAGAGTAGATTGATAGGACAGAAAAAAAAAATAGGCCCACATTAAAAAGTCAGTTTGACAAAGATGCAACATTGTATAGTAGGAAAAAAAAAAAGTCTTCCCAACAAGTAGTAAGAAAACGACATCCACAAACAAAAATATAGATAAAAACCATACTCTTCACAAAAATTGATTCAGAATGGGCCACAGACCTAACGCAAAAAGCAGCAGTACTATAAAACTGCTAGAGGGGGGCTGGTGAGATGGCTCAGTGGTCGAAAGCACCTACTTAGAACAAGCTTAGCAAAGCACAGGGACCACGGTTCAATCCCCCAGCACCACATGCCAGCCAGCCCCGCCCCCTGGTGGGCTGAGCTGGCCACACACACACACACACACACACACACACACACACAAATAAATAAATAAAAATTAAAAAAAAAAACTGCTAGAGGAGTAAATCCAGATGAGCTTGGACTTAATGGTGACTTTTTAGTTATGACACCAAAGGCACAACCTATGAAAGAAGAAACCGGCAACCAGGACTTCATTAAAACTTAGAATTTTTGTTATTAGAAAAGACATTGTCAAGAGATAAAAAGCAAATCACAGACTAGAGAAAAACAGTCACATAGATACAGAATAAAACACTATTATCTAAGATACACAACTGACAGTTAAAACTCAACAATAACAAATAACCCAGTTTAAAAAAAAAAAAAAATGTTTCAAAGCCCTTACCAGCTGCCTCACAAAGAAGGTATATGAGTGTCTAAAAGGACACTCCACATCCCACCTCACAATGCAGTGCAGATTGCGACAACAGAGTGACCAGCACCAGAACGGCTACGATGCAGAGCCCTGGTATCTGGGGGATGGGGAGCAACAAGAACTGTCCTCCATGCTGATGGGACACAAGATGGGATGGCCACCTTACAGGGCAGTTGGTGATTTCTTGCAAGACTGAGCACACATTACTAAGTCCAGCAATTGCAGATTTAAAAATGTATGTCTACCCAAAATTCT